AAAAAATTACAATGATCTCTCTCCCTCCAATCAAATTAAGTTCAGAGAAAATGTATTGTTTTTTCCAAAATTGTGCCATGTCATGGCTAGGAGCCAAGGGTCCTCCTGGGCTTGCCTGGGGCTCCAGGTACAGATGGCTAATTGCAGAAGAGCTGTGGGATGGGGAGAGCACAATGTGGTCCTGCTGACCCTGGTGCTGTTGCAGTGGCTGTAGCACCTGCCCCTGCAACACCCTGCCGCCCCACCAAGCAGTCCCAATCATGGCTGGAGATTCAGTGATATTTTATTCTTGTCCAGAGCCCATCAATTGTGGCCTTGGACCACTCTAGACAGGCTGCAGGTGTCTGCAAACAGCAGGCTAAGACCAGAACATCGCCCTCCTCCCCTTCATTTTCTTCCACTTTTGAAAAGTGCAGTTCTCTCCCCCACCTCTCAAGTGCCCCTGTGGCTTCACTGTACTTCAGGGTCTCCATAAATGCAGCCAATCAGAATATTCAGAGGGTGCCGGCTTTGTGAGGCTGCAATCTGTGATGCTGGTGTCCCATATGGCCACCGGTTCAAGTCCTGGTTGCTCTACTTCCCATCCAGCTCCCTGCTGATGCACCTGGGAGAGCAGCAGAGGATGACTCAGGTCCTTGGGCCCTTGTACCCACATAGGTGGCCTAGAAAAGGTTCCTGGCTGCTAGCTTCAGGTCAGCACAGCTCTGGCCATTGTGGCCATTTGGGGAGTGAATCTGTGAATGGAGGATCTCATTCTCTCTCTCTCTGTAACTCTGCCTTTCAAATAAATAATCTTTAAAAAATAAAGTAATTAATTAAATCTGGTATATTGCGCATTCAAAAAATTTACAGAGATATTCTAGTTTCAAAGAAATGGAAATGAGCATGGGTGGGAACAGGCTCAGAGAACATCATCCTCTCAGTAACTGTGGGGTATGGATATCAAAACCCACAGACGCACAAGTCCCTTTAACACAGTGGTGTGTGGTTTTATGTAACCCATACACATCCTCTTATATACTTTAAGTCACCTCTAGATTACATGTAACCCCTAATACAGCATAAACGCTGCATAAATTCTACATAAATAGTTCTTTGAAACTGTGTTGTTTAAGGAATGACAAGAAAAAAAAAACACCTCTGTTCACTGCTAGTATAGCTGTAGTTTTTCCTCCAATATGTTTGTCTGCTATTGACAGAATCTGTGGTTGGAGAGGCTGTATGGAGAGCGGACTACCTGCGCCATCTTTTAGTTCCTGGAAATGGTGTTATCCTCTGGGAGGGGGGAGCTGTGTTGAGTGGGGGAGTGGATTACGTGATGTCTAATCGGAAGAGATCCCTGTGAAGGTGGAAGGGGATGTGGGGAGATGGGGCCACCAAGCTGGGGGGCCCCTTGTCCATGTTCAGTGGGAGGGCCTGCCCATTGCCTTGTCAGCCCCTGGCCAGCCTGTTCCCACACCCCCATGCCTCAGGAGGCTTATGAAGGCTGCAGAGAGCCTAAGTCGCATATGGGGGAGCAGGCAAAGGCTTGGGCTCAGAGGACTCCTCTGACAGGACAGCCGGTGAGTGGCTCATCTCTATTTGGTGCTCCCCCCCGCCTTCCTCTGACAACTTTTCAGGTGTCCCTATGGCCCTGTGTCTCCCCCTAACTCTGCACCACCCCAGCCTGGGGAATTTCATCCTGTCCAGTAAAATGCGGGAGTCACCAGCAGTAGACGATGATGATGGGACCCAGCTTTGCTAGTGGTTGCAGAGGATTCTTGTCTCACACCTTGAAACAATAGTGTGTTACTTCTGCTTTCGTAGGTCCCTAATGACCAAAATAACAGTAGCCCCAAACTAAGGGGAGGAGGCCATCAGGCTGCTTCTGGATTTGTGGTTTGTGGACTGAGTGTAGACTGGAGGATTCTTCTTCATTTTTAAAAGATTTATTTATTTACTTGAGAGACAGAATTACAAACAGAGAGAGGGAGAGATACTGGTTCACTCCCCAAATTACTGCAAGGCCAGAGCTAGGCTATTCCGAGTCCAGGAGCCAGGAGCCAGGAGCCAGGAGCTAGGAGCTTCTTCCAGGTCTCCCACATGGGTGCAGGGGCCCAAGCGCTTGTGCCATCTTCTACTGCTTTCCAAGGCCATCAGCAGGGAACTGGATTGGAAGTGGAGCCGCTGGGACACAAACTGGTGCCCATATAGGATGCTGGCATCACAGGCAGAGGCTTAACCTACTATGCTACAGTGCCGGGCTGCCCTGAATGGAGGATTCTTAAAAGGAATCCTATTGTGGAGAAGATATTAAGTTTGATTTTGAGCATGTTGACTGGGAGGGGCTCTGAGCCATCCAAGTGTAGGTGCCAAGTGGGCAGGGCAAGGTGTGGGTCTGGTGCCTAGGGGAGAATAAGGGTTAAAGGTAAAATGCGGGAGTCACCAGCAGTAGATGATAATGACAGTCTTGGGGGCGAAGGAGAGTGGGGAATCAGAGAGTGGAGAAAGGCCCCAGATCCAAGCCTTGGGAAGACCCATGTAATTGGTCTAGAGGTGGTTAAGCCAGGCCCCCGCCCTCACAGCACCACGGCTATGGCCACCCCGCGGTCTGCAGTTCTGGCAGCCTCTGCCAAGAGCCAAGTGGACATTTGCAGGTGAGCAGCACGACCCACAGGCTGTGTATGATGGCCTTTGCTTCTCATTGACCTCGATTCACCTCCTCTAAGCTTCTTAGCGAGTTTTCTGGGAATGAGCTCACCCGCCCCACCCTTCCTGATGGCTGGGTTCATGTACACTCTCCCCCACCTTCATCTCACGTCTTAATCCGGCTCTCTTGTGTCTCTCTGCCTCCGTGTCCTTATGGTCCGCTATGTTTTCCTGTGGTTGGGGTGTCTGCCTGGTGTCCTGTGCCCTAATTAGCTCCGGGAGAGGGCGGGGTGACTTGAAAACAGAGCTCCCCAGCAGCCCTGATGCACCTGTCAGAGCGGGAGCAGCAGTGACTACTAGGGTGGCTGGTGGGGGCCCTGGATGCTGGCCTCAAACCCCAGGTGGCACCTTGAGGGGCTGGTGACTCCTGGATAGCAGTTTGACCCATGCCCTGGGCTGCCCTTGACCCTGAGGTCTCCCGAGTCACTGTTGTGAATCTGAATACAGCTGCCAGAGAAGCGTGGTCCTTGCCCATCATGCTCACCTGCTCCAGTTCCCGACACAGGTGGTCGTGGGCTTTTCAGACACACATCCAGAGGCTGTGGGGCCCTTCTCTGGGGGCAGATTCCTGCTGTTGTAAGTGTTCTGGGCCAGCAGAGAGGCAGCCAGGCAGAAAGCACCAGGAAGAGGGATGAGGGCAGGTTGGACTGAGCAGGGGGCTACCCCATCACAGCTGCAGCCTGGGCAGTGCCTTCCCGACCTCCCTTGCCTTCCAGAAGCTGCCCACCCACCCTTCCAGACCCGGCTCTGGGCTTGTCTCCCCCTGCTTTGATTTCTTACCCTTTTCGGTCTTCCACAGTAGAGACGAGAGCCTGCATTAATAGTTCCGGAAGCGGCACCCTGCTAGGAAATTGTGTTTCTCGAGCGCAGGGTCCAAATGGTCTCGGTCCCCTGGACTTTTCAGCAGAGAGCTGAGCACAAAGGGGCTGCCCCCCAGCTTAGTAACTGACCTGAAACTCTGACTCAGGACGCCTGACGGCCCTTTGATTGCTTCACTCATTCACTCATTCCCTCAGCAGGTGCTTCTGGCTGAGCTGGATGCTTGGTGTCCTATTCCCGCTCGGAGCCTAATATTGAGAAAACATGAACGGTGATTAGCATCACCACCGTTTGCTGCACTGTTGTGTGTGCTTTGCAGGCATTCGTTGTTTGCATACTCCTCAAGTTTGTGGTCCTGCTCATCTAGGGGTCTGAGCCGGCAACTGGCAGAACTGCGTTTTCAGCCCAGAGGTTCTGGTTCTGTTGCTTTGTTGTAAAGCATTTCTCAGAGGAGGAAGTGGTGGAGTCTGGGCAGCCGTGAGACCTTGGCAAGTCACGGCCATGGCCTCCTCCGTGCAATCTCTCTTCCATTGCCTACGAGGCTCCTTGCTCTCCAGGGAGCGACTCTGTCCCTGCCTCCAGGGGGCGATGCTGCCTGCTGGGGGCTGTAGAAAGGGATGCTCTGGGGAAGGCTGGGAAGGGGCTGCAGGTGCGTGAGGACCCCTCAGGTGCATTGGGTCAGTGCCCTATTCAGAGGATGCCCTGCTGTCGGTGAGCCCACTACTGCTCCCTGTTGCTCTTTGCTTTGGGGGTTGGGAGCTGGCCAGGGTGCTGGTTGGTCTTGGTGCCCCACAAGAGGCCCTGAAGCCTAAGCCTTTGGCATGAGTTCAAGTCTTTCCAGGTTGAGCTCCGCCCACCCTGGCTGGCCTGACATGGCCTGTCCTCTATCTGGGGATTGTGACGACTATGACAGCTCTGAAGCCTAAGAACTCCTGCAGGCGGCCTCCAGGCTGTGTGTGTGTGTGTGTGTGTGTGGGTGGGTGGGTCGGTCCCTCTTCCTTCTACATGCTCCCCTCCCTTCTGGCCAATAGGAACTTGTCTTACTAAGACTGAGGGCTGACCAGTGAGGTAGCGCCCTGGGGTATCTTCTTAGGGGTCCCTCTTCAGTGGTCCTGCATCTCAGCATTTTGTCTCCCTTCACAGACATTCCTCTGCTCCCTGGCTCCCCACGCCGGCTGAGCCCTCGGACAGTGGCCAGAGGGAGTCATGCACAGCAATACCTCAAGGTGCCAGGTGCCTGGGCCCCAGGCCCACAGGTTAAAACCAACATCTTTTAGAAGGAGATCCTACCATTTGTGACAACATGGATGAACCTGCAGGACCTTATGCTAAGTGAAGTAGGCCAGGCCCAGAAGAAGAAGTGCTACATGATACAGCTTATATTATGAATCCAAAATAGTCAGACTTCCAGAATCAGAGAAGGAAATGCTGATTTCCAGCGGTAGGGAGTTGTTGTTGTTTGTTTGGTTTTTGTTGGGGCCTTTTCCCCTCACCAAGTCTGGCACAGTTTCCAGGGGACATGGCTTTTGTGGTCAGGAGGATCAGGAGAGGCTGGGTGTTCCCACCTGTTGGTCCCACTTGTGGCACTCCTAGGCCTGAGAAACCTGTCTCTGCTGTGGTGGCTGCGAGCCTCTCCCTTGTGCCTGATGCTTCACCTGGTTGCCCTGGTGACCTCTCAGGTGGCTGCAGCGGCAGCTGGGTACCAAACCAGTAATAAACAAGGAAACGCCCAGAGGGAGGGAGGCAGGTCCTTCCCCCAGCTCCGCCTTGCTCTCTCTCCTCTTCTTTCCACCTCCCCAGCCTGGAGTAGGAGAGAGCAAGAGTGGTTTCCTCCAGCTGCTGCCTTAGGCAGGCTCCTCGTCAGTGGCTGGAGAGGAGGAGGATGTGGGGGCTGTGAGGCGCAGTGTTGAGTGAGTTCCTGTGGGTGGGAGGGCAGTGGATAGACCAGGCAACTAGGTATTGGCCTTTGTTCCAATGGATCCAGAGAACCTGCCGGTGAGTAGTCTCTGTGTGGAAATAAGTAGAGTGTTTACAGGCAGGTGTGTGTATCTGCAAGGTGGTGAGGAGGTGAGCTGTGTCCCAGTGCATGGGCAGGGTTGTGTGTGTTTATCAGCATGCACTTGGGTAGATGCATGTGTGCACGGGCACCTGCCTGTGTGTGCAGGAGCTGAGTGGATGTGTGTTTGCAGGTGCTTGTCTGTGTGCATGGACAGGAGGGGGCGTGTGGTTCTGTGTGTGGAGTCAGGTGGTGTGGATATGCAGGGCTTTGCTGTTGCCTGTGTGTTCTGTGCATGTGAATCTATGAGGTGCATGCATGCCAGGGCATGTGTACAGGAATGGGTGTCCAGACCTTAGGCAAGCAGGTGCAGGGCTGGGTGCGACAGATGAACTCAGGTCACTCTGTCCTTTCACTGGAGCAGTCAGGGCTTCTGGACTTACTTCCAGTCCATTTTGGGCCCAAAGCAGATCCACCTCTTCTGTCTCTTACCCTAAGCTCATGGGACCTCGTCACCCTTGTCTTCTTTTCTCTGGCCAGGTCATCAACAACTACCTGGATGCCAACGAGCCTGCGTCTTCGGAGGCCCGTCTGAGCCGTATGCACTTCCATGACAACCGGAGGAAGGTTGACTATGTGCTCGCCTACCACTACCGGAAACGCGGGGCGCACCCTTGCCAAGGGTCCCCTGGCCACTCGTTGGCCATCGTCTCCAATGGGGAGACAGGCAAGGAGCCCCATGCAGGGGGCCCCGGTGACATTGAGCTGGGGCCACTTGATGCCTTGGAGGAGGAGAGGAAGGAGCAGCGGGAGGAGTTTGAGCACAACCTCATGGAGGCTGGACTGGAGCTCGAGAAGGACTTGGAGGTGAGTTTGGGCAGGTGGCAAAGGTCTTGGGTTGTGATGAGCTCCTGGTGATGGATGCCACTCTGCAGCAGCCTTAGCTTTGTCCTGGCAGCTTCTTTTTTTTTTTTTTTTTTTAATTCTGCGGGAGTAACCAGATTCTCTTGCCCAAGGACTTGAGGAAGCGTCATTAGAAGTGTCCGTTCATCCATCTACCCATCCACCCCTCCACCCATCCATCCATCCATCCACCTATCCAACCATCCATCCATCCTCTTCCATTTCTCCATCACTGAATCCACCCACCCATCAATTCATGCATCCTTCATCCATTCGCCCACCCACTCACGTATCTGTTTATTCATAGTCTTACCCGTCTAGTTCTTCACACCACAGTGACCCTATAAAAATGGCCAACCCTATCATCCCCTGCAAACCCATATCCTGCCTCTTCTACCCTCCTGCACCCTACTGCAGGCCACCGGCCTTACCTAAGTGGTGGATTGGTCACTCTGAGTCTTTGAACTTTGAACTTATCGTCTCTGCTTTGGGTGCTCCTCCCAGACTGGAGCATTCTCACTCTCTCATGTCAGGTCTCTGTCAGACATCTTCCTGATCATCCTATCCCTGTCTCTTTCTATCCCTTTACCCTGCTTTGCCTTCGTTATGCTTAGCACAGCTACCTAAAGTAATGGGGTGGATTTGTTTCCTTTTTTTTTTTTTTGCCAGACAGAGTTAGACAGTGAGAGAGAGACAAAGAGAGAGTTATAAACAGTGAGAGAGAGAGACAGAGAGAAAGGTCTTCCTTCCATTGGTTCACTCCCCAAATGGCTGCTATAGCTGGTGCTGTGCCGATCCGAAGCCAGGAGCTGGGTACTTCCTCCTGGTCTCCCATGTGGGTGCAGGGACCCAAGCACTTGGGCCATCCTCCTCTGCCCTCCTGGGCCACAGCAGAGAGCTGGACTGCAACAGGAGCAACTGGGACTAGTACCCGGCACCCCAACCGGGACTAGAACTGGGGGTGCTGGTGCCGCAGGTGGAGGATTAGCCAAGTGAGCCATGGCACCAGCTGGATTTGTTTTCTTATCTGTGTCTCTGCTGGCTTTGTGAAGCCAGAGATCTTGTTGGTTTTCTGTTCCATCTCCAGCACCTAGGACAGAGTCAGGCTCATAGTAGGCGTTTAATAAGTGTTAGTCAAGTAAATAAATGACTTCTCTGAGTCTTAGATCCCTCATCTGCAAAATAATAGATGACTTGCTGGATCAAAGTTTTGCATGCCCCACCATTAGCAACAGCAGTGGAGGATGGCCCAAGTGCTTGGGCCCTGCACCCGCATGGGGAGACCAGGAAGAAGCACCTGGCTCCTGGCTTTAGATAGGGTGACATAGAGGGATGGAAAGACAGAGAGATCTTCCATCTACTGGTTCACTTCCCAAATGCTCACAGCAGCCAGGGTTGGGTCAGGATCAAAGCCAGAAGCCAGGAACTCCATTCTTGTCTCCCACATAGGTGGCAGGGGTTCAAGTACTTGGGCCATCATTCACTGCTGCCCAAGGTGCACTAACTGGGAGCTGGACTGGAAGCACAGAACAGCTGGGCCTTAACCTGCTGTGCCATACCACCTGTCCCTCCTATCCACCCCTGCCCCCAGCCCAAAATGTTATGCAAACAGTCTAGTTCATTGTACTTCTCAGTGCTGGCAGATCTTGACCCTTTTTAAAAATGTTTAGTTTGCATTGCTTTTTAAAAATTTTTAATAACTTTTTAAAAATTTTATTTTTTTAATTTGTTTTTTAAGGAATACAAATTTCATAAGTACAATCTTAGGAATATAGTCATTCTTCCCACCATACCTGCTCTCCCATCCACACTCTCACCTCTCCTCCCTCTCCCCTTGCCAGTCCCATTCTCCATTAGGATTCATTTTCAATTAACTTTGTACACAGAAGACCAACTCTATAGTAAGTAAAGATTTCAACAGTTTGCACACACACACACACACAAACTGAGAACTGGTTTTACAGTTAACTCTCATAATACAACTCATTGAGGACAGAGGTCCTACATGAGGAATTAGTGCACAGTGACTCCTGTTGTTAATTTAACAATTAACACTCTTATGTACAATGTCGGTGACCACCTGAAGCTCTTGATGTGAGCTGCCTAGGCTATGGAAACGTTTTGAGTCCACAATCTCTGTTAGTATTTAGACAAGGCCATAAGCAAAGTGCAAGTTCTCTCCTCCTTTCAGAGAAAAGTATATCCTTCTTTGAGGGCCACTTCTTTCTGCTGGGGTCTCACTCATGTAGAACATTTTTTGGCACAGTGTCTTGGCTTTCCATGCCTGAAATACTATCACGGGTTTTTCAGCCAGACCAGGAAACCTTAAGGGCTGATTCTGAGTTCAGAGTGTTACTTAAAGCGATTGTCATTCTGAGTCTGCTGTGTAGACTGCTTCCTATGTTGGAACATTCTCTCCTTTTTAATTCTATCTATTATTATTACTGGACACTTGAATCTATTTATATGATCACATTAACACTTAATCCTATCTATATGTTCACTTTAACTCTTAATATGATCACTTTAATAGTTAAGAAGGCATTTTTACCACCAAACTAAATGAGATTTGGAGTCCCATTACAAGTTTTTAAACTGTACCCTTGGGTACAGGAATGTATGCAGAACTATACAGCTTTAGTTACAAACTTCTCCTCTCTCTTATTTCCACTTATTTTTTGCTGAGATTCATCCTTAATTGACTTTATATGCATATTATTAACTCAATGTTAAGTAAAGAATTCAACAAATTGTATGAAGAAGAAAAAGAAAAAAACAAAACAAAAAGGCTGTTCCATGACAGTTGAGACAAGGGCTGTTCAAATCATTGCTTCTCAAAGTGTCAATTTCACGTCTACAGATTTCCTTTTAGGTGCTCTATTAGTTCTCACAGATCAGGGAGAACAGGTATTTGTCTCTTTGGGACTGGCTTATTTCACTAAGTATGATGTTTTCCTTATTCATCCATTTTGTTGCAAATGACCAGATTTCATTTCCTTTAATCACTGTGTAGGATTCCATAGTGTGGATATCCCATAATTTCTTTATCCACTCTTCAGTTGATGGGCATTTAGCTTGATTCCATGTCTTACCTCTTGTGACTTGAGCTGCAATAAACATGGAGGTGTAGATAACTCTTTTATTTACTGATTTCATTTCCCTTGGGTCAATTCCCAGGAGTGGGATGGCTGGGTCATATGGTAGGTCTATATTCAAATTTCTGAGGTATCTCCATACTGTCTCCCATAGTAACTTTACAAGTTTACATTCCAACCAACAGTGGATTAGGGTACCTTTTTCTCCACATCCTCGCCAGCATTTGTTGTTTGTTGATTTCTTTTTTAAAAAAAGATTTATTTATTTATTTATTTGATAGAGTTACACAGAGAAAGGAGAGGCAGAGAGAGAGAGAGAGAGAGAGAGAGAGAGAGAGAGAGAGATATTTTCCATACAATGGTTCACTCCCCAGTTGGCCACAATGGCTGGAGCTGCATTGATTTGAAGCCAGGAGCCAGGAGCTTCTTCAGGGTCTCCCATGTGGGTGCAGGGGCCCAGGGACCTGGGCCATCTTCTATTGCTTTCGAGGCCATAGCAGAGAGCTAGGTCGGAAGTGGAGCAGCTGGATCTCCAACCGTTACTCATATCAGATGCTGGTGCTTTAGTCCAGGGCATTAATCTGCCATGCTACAGTGCAGGCCCCTGTTTGTTGATTTCTGTGTGAGAGCCATTCTAACAGAGGTTAGGTGAAACTGCATTGTGATTTTGATTTGCATTTCCCTGACAGCTAGTGATCCTGAGCATTTTTTCATGTGTCTGTTGGCCATTTGAATTTCCTCTTTTGAAAAATGTCTGTTTAAGTCCTTTGTCCATCTCTTAATTTGGTTGTTTGTCTTGTTGTTGTGGAGTTTCTTGATCTCTTTATATATTCTGGTTATTAATCCTTTATCAGTTGCATAGTTTGGAAATAATTTCTCCCATTCTGTCAGCTGCCTTTTCACTTTCCTTAGTGTTTCTTTTGCAGTACAGAAACTTCTCAATTTGATATAATCCCATTTGTTAATTTTGGCTTTGACAGCCTGTGTCTCTGGGGTCTTTTCCAAGAATTCTTTGCCTGTACCAATGTCGTGCAGGGTTTCCACAATGCTCTCTAATAATTTGATGGTGTCGGTGTCTTTAATCCATGGTGAGTGGATTTTTGTAGTGCATTACCCTGGACCTGTACAAAGACCCTCTTTTCATTTCTTTAAACATCTCCTGTCCTCTTCACTGCCTGTGCCCTCTACAGGCAATCACTCCAGTGCATCACAGTTCTGGGAAACGTGTAGTGATGTCTCTACTGTGTGTGTCTTATTTTTAACTTTAAAATAGGCTTTATTGTCTAGAATAGTTTTAGATTTACAGACATACAGGAAGATAGGACAAAGAGTTCCCATAAAACCTGTGTGCAGTTTTCCATATTATAAACATCTCATATAAATAGGGTACATTTGTTAGCAATTAACAAACCACTATGGATGTATCCTCATGCTGTTTATTTAAATTGCCTTCATTTTTACCTGTTCTTCTTTATCTACTCCAAGATCCCATTTGGTTGATCTGTCTCCTGTCTCCTTGGTAGTAACAGTTTCTCAAGACTGTGTGCATTTTTAATTCATAGAAAAGGCATTCTATTTATAGCCCAGTTTTTTTCCTTACTTTTTCCCTCCAAGCACTGTATTTTTCAGACCATTCACGCGCCGCACGTGCATCTCATCTGTTATTTCTAAGGGAGGAGCAGATTGCAGGTTGTAGCTTCTCTTCTGTCTTCCCAGATAATAATGGGCAATGAGGTTGCCACTGACTGTGTGCCACTCAACAAGGTAGAGGATGAGTTGTCCCCTCCCACGGTGGTGATGGCCACTGGCTGCAGATTTGTCAGCTGGAACTGTGAGGTTCTAAACGACTCTTCTCCAGGTCAACGTGCT